AAAGAGCAACCGTTGTCGCGCGAACCGTCCAAGCCGAACCAATGCGCCACCGTTCGCATGCGACATCGCGCCACTATGAACTTCGTATCTCCTCATCGATTGCCGAACGCCAGTGACGTGACAGTGGTGCACTTCAGTTTCACGATGTACATCTGCATATGTACACCAACGCCAGCAGAACGAGCCAACGTCCGTTCTTGGTTTTGCATGACAGACACGTGACAACAGTCGCGACAGAATTCACTCACCGCATCGCCGCGTCGGGAGGACCGGACCGGCCGAATCCATCTTTTAGTGACCAATACTCAGCAATCGATTAGCAGAGAAGTACAGCGAAGCGGAAGGCAAACGTCAACGAACAAAGACAAAAGACACCTTTACTCTGACTCTAAAGAAACCGATTAACTTGTAATCGTGAACAGCAATAATAATCGTGAGAACAGATAAGGCAAAAGTGCCCGGCTTACGCATTCACTGCCTTATAAAAAAAATCGATTCGCTGCAGTGCTGAAAACAACGACTCGACTGAACGCATGAAAACAACTGACGTGATCCGGTCGCAGCCCTGCCCGCATTAGCCGTTACTCACCTCAGGGAACAATTGAGAATTAATACCTTCAATTGATGGTCAGCTAGGTCATTTTTCCGGTTCGGTCGATGGGTGATGAATATCGTTAAGCTAGTCTGCAGCGCAACGAACGGAACGGAAGGTCGTAAATCGGCGGCCATCGGCTATGCGCACGTAGTTCTGCCGGACAAGAGGCAAAAAGCGTCAGTGCGACAGATAGCCTGCGAAGACGGCGAACAGTAAGCTGCGCTCCACATGCCGCACTACTGACCTTGCCAAGTGTGCGCGTGAGAGTATGCTGAATTCCCACGAATGGGAACAAAACGCTACGTTGACGTCACCCCTGTCCGCTCCTATCGACCACCGCACATGAGAATGAATTCGTTATGCATCGATGGATCGATTAGCGATCGAGGCGCCCCCCGCGACGTTACATGTCGATCCATATGCTGCTCACGAACAGAACGACGTTCGTGCTGCAGGTGTACACCACTGCATGTTGGTAAACGCCTACTTTGCTGATCCGCAGGTAAACTTCCTTCCTTCTATACCGTAAACCTAGCGAAAGCGTTTTTTGAGGCCCTCTGCCTTCAAACCTAACAACTTCTGCAGATAACTGAGGAACCTACGCCACGCAACCAGTTTCCTACCTTGAAGAACGATCGTGAGACGAGCAGCAACGTTGGTACTGATCAGTCGATTTGCCGTACTTCCTGCGTTGTTTACAAATAAACCTGTTTTCCGCTACGAGTGGATAATATTTCGCTATATTCGTAACTTAAAAAAGAAAGAGGAAGACTTGTTTGGTCCCAAAGAGGAAGACTGAAGGTAGACATTTTAGTGATAAACTTAACGACGCCATTGCTTCTACTTGTCTAGTGAAACCATTTAGTTAGGACAGGGCTTCAGGGCACTTAAATGCCTGCAGTAGATAGGACATACACATCGAATGCGTAATTGAGCCGAAATACAAACTTTTAGCTATCAGTTTTTTAGACTTTTGCATCTCATCTTCATCTTCTCCTATCGGGTCGCAGAAGCGGACGCGTCAGACAGTGTTCCAACGTTCCAAATCCTGTGTCATAGTCTGAACTTTGGCAGAAGGCAGCTGGAGTCTAAAGCAAACTCCTTCCGTACATTTGCACCTAATCTGGTTAACCTTGCACGTACCGTGGTCCTTCTGACTATGGCTTGGGCAAGAAATAATGCTTTCGTCTTCTTTCGTGTAGGCATTCGCCACACGTATACCCAAACCATCGTGGCTGTGACTTCTCAGTATGATGAAACAGCGGCCATACTCCACGGCTCTCACGATGTCTGTATTCCGGACTATTTCGAGACAGGCATACCAAACGACTCGCCTCAATAAGCCCATTTCAGCCGCTTTTACCCGAAATCGAAGTTTTTCAGTCATGTTCCACGACTCCTGACCGTAGGTAAACAAGCGGTTGAAAACCAACTTGAACACCGATAAATTTGTTTTCAG